ACACACACCCCAACACACACACCCCACCAACACACACCCTACCAACACACCCCAACACACACACCCCACCAACACACCCTACCAACACACAGGTACGGAGACACGCATGAGATTCCACACACCCCAACACACATGCCGCACAACACACACACCCCACCAACACACACCCCACCAACACACACACCCCAACAACACACAGGTACAGACACAGAGACACACACACAAGATTCCACACACCCCAATACACACGCCACACAACACACAGACACAGAGACACACACCACACAGAGATTCCACACACCCCAACACACAGGTACACAGAGACACACGCACGAGATTCCACACACCCCAGCAACACACACACCATACAACACACAAACACATGCACCACGCAGACATACAGACACAACACACAAGACAGAGACACACACTACACATACACACACACACATGCACACATCCACACACACAGACACACCACACACAGACACACCACAGACACACACACAGAGACACACCATATCCACACACAACATCCAAGACAGACACACCACAGAGACACACCACAGAGACACACCACACACAGAGACACACTAAACACACATAGACACCACAGACAGGCAGACACACCACACACTTGCACACACAAGACACAGACACATCACATAGGGACACACACAGAGACACACCACACAGAGACACCACACAGACGCACTACACACACACACACAGACACATCACAGACACACACGACACACAAGACAGACACACCAGAGACACACCACACACCCACACAAGACACACACCACACAGAAACACACACCACATATGCACACAAGACAGACATATCACACAGATACACACACACAAAAACACAGACATGAACACATCCACACACAACCCACAAGACAGACACAAACACAGACAAAACAAACAGACACACCACAGACATGCAGACACAACACACAAGACAGACACACACACCACACATACACACACAAAAACACAGACATGCACACATCCACACACAACACCCAAGACAGACACACCACAGAGACACACTACACACACCAGACACACACACATGACACACAGAACAGACACACCACACACACAGCACACACCCACATAAAGACACAGACACACCACACAGAGACACACACAGAAACACATACCACACACAACACACAAGACAGACAGACAGACAGACACACACACACTCTTTGCTGAGCTGCCTCACATCCTCCGTCTCACCAGCTGCCCTGGAGGGTGGTTCTGGTGT